GTGGTGATGACTCGGCGTCATGCATCGATTCATTCGCCATCAGCACTGCTGAGTCAGAGACCGTGTGTGACGGAGTCACTGGAAATGATGTAACCTGCGGCGTCAATGACTCATAAAATGAAAAGGCTAGGAATGAAGACTCCTCGTATCCTGAAGCCAGTCCTGTCAATGGCGACTCGTATGTCGAGTCAGGCACCGGTGCATCCGAAGACGTCTCGTTCGCTTGTACACCGTCTGTGACACCAGGCGTCGAAAACATGGAGTCTGTAAAAGATGGACCAATCGGAAGCCAGACAGACTCAGTCTCGTTGTGCTCTAGAGAAGTGACTGAGCTCAAATACTCCAAGGAAACGAGGGAAGGCGTGAATGTCTCGGACTCTAAACCTGAAAAACTTAGGAGATCCAGGGCGGCTGTGGAGAAATTCTCTGATGTGGTTACTGTAGTAAATGAAGAAAGTGTCAATGAGAAGGAAATCATATCCGCGACGTCTGATGAATCCAACGATGGGTTCAGTCCTGCAGCTGTTGTCAAGTTTTGATATTCGTAAGTCGAATCAGGCTGAATTTCAGAAAGGTCAAACCCCAGAGATGATGAGGTATCAAAGAATGGGGATCTGGAATATACCATGGTTGATGTCTCTAACGTCGTGTAGAGTTCTGTTAAATTTTCAAGCACAGCCGTTGAAATTGTTAATTCTAGAGTAGGCGAATAACCCGATGCGTTAGCGGTGACTTCATCTGAGCCTGTCGTCATGGAGACGGTGTCTTGGAGACTCGGAAGTGTGGAGTATTCAAATTCAAGTGATGAATAAACACGGGTAAGTTCTGCAATGGTGTGATTGATCCCAGCACTGGACAAGATGGCTTCCTCCGATAACGTTGAAAAAAACTCAGAGAAGCCATCGTAGGATGTCATCCCCGACGGTGACAAGCCGGACGTCACAGGCGCTTCAAGCTGAACTGTCTCTGTCATATTTAATCCTTCTGTGACGTCACTTTTAGAAGAGTCCAAATAAAATGTAGTCTCTGCATTTGCTGTGTACACAACTGATGAATCAGACCCTCGGGGCAACTCTGTGACTTCGCCGTCGTCAGATGCGTTGATTGCATCAGACATGGAAGAAATCAATGTTACGCTTTCATTTTCAAAAATGGCTGACGATAGATCAATGGCGGATGACTTAACCAAGGTGAAGGTCGTTTGTGGTGCTTGGGGTTCCCACGTGACGTCAGAGACATTTGTTGTCATGGTTGAGTCCGTCTCTGAAGTGTTGGAGGAGGTCTCTAAAATGTCTGTCGCGAAAGTAGTCCATGGCTCAGACTCTAACGATGTGCTTCCCATGGCCGTCACGGTAGCTAGAGTATCATTGTGGTCCAAAACAGGTGTCCAAATATCAGAGAAACTGGCGGTCTCACTATTACTTGGTGTTTCAGTCAATGCCATGTCTGAACTATTTAGTGTCTCCCTATAACTTGGTGTTTCAGTCAACGCCATGTCTGAATTATTCAGTGCCTCACTATAACTTGGTACCAACGTCACATCAGAACTAGTGAACGTCTCACTGTAACTTGGTGTTTCAGTCAATTTCATGCCTGAACTATTCAGTGTCTCACTATAACTTGGTATTATGTCCCCATCAGAGTTACTGAGTGATTCACTATAACTTGATATTTCAATGATTACCACATCTGAGCTATTGAATGTCTCACTATAACTTGGTACCAACGTCATATCAGAACTAGTGAACGTCTCACTATAACTTGGTATTTCAGTCAATGTCACGTCAGAACTATTCAGTGTTTCACTATAACTTGGTACCAACGTCACATCAGAACTAGGGAACGTCTCACTATAATTTGGTATTATGTTCCCATCAGAACTACTGAGTGATTCACTATAACTTGATATTTCAATGATTACCACAACTGAACTATTCAGTGTCTCACTATAGCTTGGTACCAACGTCATATCAGAACTATTGAGCGTCTCACTATAACTTGTTATTTCAGTCAATGTCACGTCAGAACTATTCAATGTTTCACTATAACTTGGTTCCAACGTCACATCAGAACTAGGGAACGTCTCACTATAACTTGGTATTATGTCCACATCAGAGCTACTGAGTGATTCACTATAACTTGATATTTCAGTGATTACCATATCTGAACTATTAAATCTCTCACTATAACTTGGTATTATGTCCACATCAGAGCTACTGAGTGATTCACTATAACTTGATATTTCAGTGATTACCACGTCTGAACTATTCAGTGTTTCACTATAACTTGGTACCAACGTCACATCAGAACTAGTGAAAGTCTCACTATAACTAAGCCTCTCCGTCAAAACCAATTCAGAACTACTCACTACAGCTTCACTATTAGTGGAAATCACAGTCATCGATAAGTCAGAACCAGTCTCACTAAAGCTTGATGAAACTGTCAGCATGTCAGAGCCATTGACAGCTCCACTGTCGTCTGGTATTACAGTAAATAAGCTGGCCGAGGACTCTGTCCTTTCCTCGGAAATATCTGTATATGAAGACATATTCATCTGTGCAGACATTTCCTCAGACACCAAGTCAGATAGGTATGGGAAGCTACTGCTCTCAGGCATATCAAAATGTGTTGAAGACTCCAAATTGAAAATGAGATCCGAAGAATTTGTGGGCAGTTCAGAAACTGGATTAGTCACGGTGGTCTCGGTACCCGACAGATTATCTGATTGTTCAAAAGACATACGGGATGCACTGGATGCATCCAAAGAGGTTCGGATATATTCTGAGAACCGTGAAAAGTCCACAATAGAATCAGAACTTCCGTAGCTGTCACTTGAGAAGACGAAACTGGTGTCGAGGCTGGTGGTGCTGTACGTCAGAAGTTCAGTATCCGATGGTGTACTTGTTGACCACAAAATTGGAACTTCTGAACCGACTGTCAAATCCTCAGACGATGTAGAACGATCCATTGCGCTGGAGATGTCTGTCGTGTATGGGAGAGACGTCTGATCTGAACCGACTGTCAAAGCCTCAGAGAATGTAGAACGATCCATTGCACTGGAGATGTCTGTCGTGTATGGGAGAGACGTCTGATCTGAACCGACTGTCAAAGCCTCAGAGAATGTAGAACGATCCATTGCACTGGAGATGTCTGTCGTGTATGGGAGAGACGTCTGATCTGAACCGACTGTCAAAGCCTCAGAGAATGTAGAACGATCCATTGCACTGGAGATGTATGTCGTGTATGGGAGAGACGTCTGATCCGAATCAACTATATTCGAAGCATAAAATAGTTCTGACGAAGACATAAACAATTGCATTGAGTCACTGGCTGGTGTTGTTTGAACATCCTCTGTATTCCCCTGTGTGGCTGAGACGGGCGGCTGCAATGCAGAATAATTTGACTCATCCAGGAAGACTTCTGAAGACGATGACACAATGTCAGCAGTTGGTGATGAAGCTTCAGAAATTATTGAACTGGAACCATCCACGACTTGAGGTATTATCCAGAAACCTGAGGATTGCACAGTCGGGGCGACTGTATTCGTCACTGTGTCAAAGCTGGGTTCCCAACTGCTATTAGAAATCGCTGTCACTGTGTGGTCAACGCTGGCCAGTGGTAAAGATTCTGAGATTGTGCCGGAGAGAAAACTTTCGTGAGGTGTTAAAACAGTTAAAGTAAGCGTCGAGTCTTCAGTTCCTGCGAATAGACTGACGTCACTCTCGAATAAAATGTTGCTGGACTCTCTCCCGTCTGTTGAACCGGACACTGTACCACTCGCCGAGATGTCACTCAACAAGACGTCAGACACTGTGGTGTCATTGGCCGGAGCTGTCAATGAGGAATCTGCCGGTTTCCTGGACTCAACCGATAAAAAAGTGTTAGTCATAGTGTACGAGAAGCTCTGCTGCGCGGCAAGGGCCGGGTCTGATACATGGTCAGTCATACTGGACGTGCCTGTTATTGCAGACTGATCTTGAGGGGAAAGGGTTACTTCGGGTACAGATTCTGTTTGTGTTATCATGCTGTATATAAGTTCAGGGGATGCAAACATGCTAGATTCTTCAGCGGCAAGGTTAAAATAGCTGGAGCGGGTCATCTCTGAGTCCTGGGAGAATGCACTGGGCTGGTTAGATGGATCAAGGCTTTCTAAAAACACAGGTGTTTTACTGGACCGGGTAAAGAGTAATGATGCAGACAAGGTGCGGGGTTCGGAGGTCAAATCTGAGAGCAGGATGCCGACGTCGCTGAGGCCAGAGAGGGAAGCGCTGAGGAAAATACTTACACTCGAGCCATCGGACAAGCTCGTGCTGGATCCTGGGGCTGACACGTCAGAGGAGACGTCCGGGTCGGAGGTCATGACGTCAGGGACCACGAGGGACGTTTGAGTTGGGGTAGGATTGATCAGCGATGTCCCATCTAAGCTTGAGGTCGACAGCGCTGGTGGTTTAAAGTGAGATGATGTAAGAGTGGACAGCGGTCAAGCTAGCAGTGGTTAATGCTCAACTGAAAGGTTGAAGCTTATAAGTAAACTTCTTTGTGGTCTATAATACATTTTTATTATAATTTAAACACATTTCCCTGCCATCTTCTTCCCTCATTCCCAAAAACTCCTTGTGCTTTCCACTACAATTGTCGTGGTTTTATTTATAATGTTAAGAATCACAGCACTGATTGAATGCATGAAGTAATTATTTAAAAAGATAGAGATCTTTGACACTGTACATATTTTATTATTAAAAAAAAAGTTTTATAAGCATTAAGCTATTACAACCAAAAGATCTGACTAATAAAATTCTTTAAAAAAAACTTCCCGGATTTGGAAGAGTCATGCAGAGAAATTGCAGGGGTTCAAAAACTGTCAAATTGAATTTAGGATATTCCATTACATTACAAATTACAAACAGCTTTTACTGGATTTGTGTTTTGTTTGTTGTTGAGCCGGTTTCTTTAGGGAAAAATATTGAATGGGACATGTTGTACAAATTGGGACACACACAGTTATTTTATATTATTTTTTAAAAAGAGTAGAGTCAAACCTGTTGTAACATCTAATGAGATTTCTGTCACGCGTGTGTCGGATTGTTGATCTGGCGTGACAGTGAAAGTGGAGCCAGTGTTCAGCTCAGCAGTTACGGACACGCTCAGGGCGGATGTGATGACCGCCTCCTGAGTCTGAGGTGGGTAGGAGGCTGCATCCGTTACACTGGCTGATTCAACGGGGCTTGAGCTCTGGCCCTGTGTCCCATCCGGCAAAAGTGAACTGGTATCTGTTGTCGTCAGCAAAGTCAAGTCAGGGGAGATCCCTGCCGGGTCAAGACTAAGAGACGACGATAAAGGGGAGGTAACTGTCGTAATTATTTCGCCGTGTAAGGTGTCCAGAGTTGCCGGTACTGAATCGATAAGACTCGGCGTTTCAGTGGCGGGACTGAAGACGAAATCGTTAGATGATGTTAGGATGCCAGCAGGTGATGAGGTCTGAACGGTGTCACTTATGAAATCTCCATTATTAGTCAATAGAAGACTCTCGGATAGATAGGTTACCGACTCTGAAGATACAATGTCTGGAGCTGCAGTTGTCTCTGAAGATACAATGTCTGGAGCTGCAGTTGTCTCTGAAGACACAATGTCTGGAGCTGCAGTTGTCTCTGAAGATACAATGTCAGGAGCTATAGTTGTCGCTGAAGATACAATGTTAGGAGCTGAAGTTGTCTTTGAAGATACAATGTTTGGAGCTGCAGTTGTCTCTGAAGATACAATGTCTGGAGCTGCAGTTGTCGCTGAAGATACAATGTTTGGAGCTTCAGTTGTCTCTGAAGATACACTGTTTGGAGCTGAAGTTGTCTCTGAAGATACAATGTTTGGAGCTGCAGTTGTCTCTGAAGATACAATGTTTGGAGCTGAAGTTGTCTCTGAAGATACAATGTCAGGAGCTGCAGTTGTCGCTGAAGATACAATGTTTGGAGCTTCAGTTGTCTCTGAAGATACAATGTTTGGAGCTGCAGTTGTCTCTGAAGATACAATGTCTGGAGCTGCAGTTGTAGCAGAAGATACAATGTTTGGAGCTGCAGTTGTCTCTGAAGATACAATGTCTGGAACTGCAGTTGTCTCTGAAGATACACTGTTTGGAGCTGAAGTTGTCTCTGAAGATACAATGTTTGGAGCTGCAGTTGTCTCTGAAGATACAATGTTTGGAGCTGAAGTTGTCTCTGAAGATACAATGTTTGGAACTGAAGTTGTCTCTGAAGATACAATGTTTGGAGCTGCAGTTGTCTCTGAAGATACAATGTTTGGAACTGCAGTTGTCGCTGAAGATACAATGTTTGGAGCTGCAGTTGTCTCTGAAGATACAATTTCTGGAACTGCAGTTATCGCTGATGATGCAATTTCTGAAACTGCAGGGGCATCAGATGTAGAAGAAGTACCGATAATAATTCCAGAACTAGTCACGTGGTCTGATGTTTGGGATGAACTTGCGTCTATACTTGCGTCTTGTGTGTTTGAAATTATTGGGTCTTGTGAGCTTGAAATGGTTGTTTCTGATGTTGGGGGCTGGGACAGACTTGAAGGCAATTCTTCATTTAATGTTTGGGTGAAGTCTTGTGTCACACTGGAAGTTGAAAATGTTGAATCCTGTGTCAAACTAGAGGTTGAAAATGTTGAATCTTGCGTTTTTAGTTCCAGACCAGCTGAACTCTCTGTGATGTCTACCGATTAAAACAAGTATATATTAATATTATATATATATATATATATATATATATATATA